TTGGCACACAACAGATCAGGGAGGGAGCAGGGAATGCTGCAACAGATAGGGCAGGAAGCAGAAAGCAAAGCAACAGATTGGGCAGGGGATAGGGATCAGAGTGGCACTTGAGGGCATAGGGGTTACTTTATGACATGCCTGCCAAATAGGTTGGCCTCCACTGTTATACACTAACTTGCTGATAGTGGCAAGAACATTCATGGGACATAGCCTACTTCATTAAATGCTGTGAGAGTCCCTACATGGCATATGATGAGAATACTGTAGCCTGTGAAAGCTCCTGTCTCTCAAAGTTACTGACAGTCTGTAAGGTGCCACCCTGCTCTGCCTTCCTCCTAACTTCAGACTAACTCCTGAGTATCTCTTGCTAAGTGGGAGACCTGGCCTTCTTGCCAGTTGTGGGTTTGTTTGCTCTGCCATAGTTACCTGTTAATTGCCAGCAGGTGTCAGCAGTGGGTACAACTGAACCACCACTGAGCAGCATCTGTTGAGAAAGTGAAGGTGGGGGTAGGTTTTGGCTTGAGCAGGGTGAATATCAGTGAGGCTGGTGTGAAGTGAAGGGGAACTAAGCAGAAGAAAATAACGAAACACTTAAGCCCAGACAATCCCAGCAGCGAGAGACACCTGGCCAGCACCCTTAATGCAAGGTAGTTCCAAGGGGACAGGGCAACCAGGAGTTGTGTGTTCAGGGCACAATAGCAAGAAGTGATCAAAGCTTGGAGGGGATAGAAAAATGAAATGAATGGGAACAGAAGAGATGAGAGAGAGAGAGCAAAGCCTGGCTGGGCTCTGCTCCTTCACTGGTTTATTGTCACTTAGAACCTAGTTTGCTGTCCAGAATGATAGATTCCTCCCACTCTTACCCCAGAGTAGAAGCTACCGCACTGTAATTGAGGGCTAGATCCAGACCTCTGTTGGCCCCTTGTTCTGTGCTGAAAATCTGACCCTGTATTTATAGTCACACGGTTGCAAAAGAAAACCTTGAAATCCGAACAGAATGCAAATAATGCAGCAATACCTTCAAGTTGCCTGCAGACTGGGAAACAAGACCTCGGAGGGGTGACTAGCTCTATTCCTAGTAATGGGTGTTAACTGCAAAATATCCTGAGGACAGTTGTTTTCCTGCAGTGCAGGCATCCAGCCAGTGTTCCTACACCTTAGTCCTAGAGTGCCTTCACATCTCCAGTGTGCCAAAAACCCCAGCTGCCAAAAGCACCAGCATCTACCCTGACAGGTCTCAGTGCAGTGGTGAGGGGTATACGAGAGCAGGTTGAAAAATGCGAGGAGAGGCAGCAGGTAAGTGCAGTTGAGCTTCTGCAGAGATGGGCTGAATGCATTGATGTTGGCAGCTAATAAATTTGTTAACCAGCCAATGCCTTAATGTAAAAAGAAGCTGCCACAGAATTCTTGGCCTGCTGAATTGCTTAATGTTGCCCAAGACTGGACATCTCATGCAGCTAGAGAGCTAATACTCATGGTCCATGTGGCATTTGTCCTGTTCTTTTAGTTCAGGTGTATCAAACATGTGGCCCTCTATCTGGTCCACTGGGCTACTGGTGGGCCACCAGCAGTTGAGGGGCATAGCCTGTTGCTGAATGAGAAGCCCTTTGGCCCGTCTGGGCATGGCCATCAGTGGTGAGTTTGGCTTGCTACTGCCACTCCTGAACTTGCTGCCTTGGACTCTGTGCCACTGGCACCACCACTGTGGTAGCCCTTACACCTGGGTCTGGATCTGGCCCACGACAAACTTCGCCATCCACATCCAGCCCACAACTTAGTGAAGTTGATGTCTCAGTTTTAGATGGTTTGTGTGCATAGTTTGCTTTTGTAAGTTTATTTCTAGTTTTCACTTCAGTAAGAGTGACTAAAATATCTTTCCTCTGCAATATCCTTTCTATGTGAGCCCTGGGATCTAGGTGGCTCAGCATGGCTTAGGGAAGATGAGATTGTCTGTGCCAATGAAAGGAATGGGATTTGTTTACAAAGTATGCGGATGCTGAAAAGCCTGTTTCACAAGTGCGATGGGAAGAAGAAAATCTATTGAGCCGAAGAATGCTCCTGGCTCTGCTGAGGTTACCGACAAGCAGAATCCAGAGTGTAGGGTTTTTGTGACAGTTTCAGGGCCTAATTGCAAGACAATGGCATCCGC